AGTAGCTTACTGCATACAAACAAAGTGAAACGAGCTGAAATTAAATTATCTGCATTTTTCGCTGAACATAATGTAGCATTTTGTACCGATCATGAACATAATGTAGCATTTTGTACCGTAGATCATTTGATCCCATTAATAAAAAATATTTGTATTGAACCCGAAGTTGTACAGGATCTTTCACTTGCTCGACATAAGTGTGCAAAAATTGTCAAAAATGTAATTGCCAAACGCGAAATTGAGAACATAATTGATTGTCTAAAACCGTGTAGATTTTCGATTGTAATTGATAAAAGTACTGATATTTCCGATACAAAATTAATGTGCGTGCTGGTGAGATATGTATCACCATTAGATGGCATTATAACTTAGGTATTAAAATTATTAAGATTAAATGCTACCGATTGTTCCGCGAGTAAAATTTTCCAAATTTTCAAAAATTCTTCAGACGAGAAACAAATTCCCATTCAAAATATTATTGGACTGGCGTGTGATAATGCGCCAGTTATGTTTAGCCGCAATAATTCATCCATGTCACATTTAAAAATAGAAGTTCCCGAATTAATTACCATAAATTGTATTTGCCATTCTTCCGCTCGTATAGCTAGTCACTCTTGTGACCAATCACCTTCGGCTTGTGAGAATTTAATTAGAGGAGCTGCCACTTATATTTCGGGCAGTGAAAAGAGATGTGCAATTTTGGTTGAATTCCAGGATTTTTTTAAAGTTCAGCGACTAAAAATTTTAAAATTATCAAATACTAGATGGCTTTGCCTCCATAAATGTATTATTAGATTATTAGATAATTGAGATGTTTTAAAAAATTATTTCATTTTAGCAGCAATAGAAGAGAAATCTAGTTTCGCGGAAAGTATTCTGGATTATTTTAACGACCCCGCGATTAAAGCCTATATACTTTTTCTTGAATATTCTCTACATTTTTTTAATAATTTCAATGCTCTGTTTCAGTCTGGCAGTATTTTAATAGATAAATTATACGAAAGTAGCAAAAAATTAGTTCATCAAATAGGGCAAAATTTTATCAAAATTGACGCGTTAAAAAACATAGAATCCTTGAATATAGATAATGTAAATAATATTCAGAATATTGAAAATGTTTATATAGGTCCGGAATGTGAAAATTATTTAGAATCTGTAGAAGTAGAATCTGCCCCTCAAATTAGAATAAATTGTTTGAATTTTTATACTACTGCAGTTCGAGAGAGGCTTGTACGTCTATGTTAAAAACTATGTCAATTAAAACGATCTTTTCGCTACGAAGATTTTGGGGTAAGTGCCGAGAGGTCAAACTCAGTCCTCTTACCAAAGGCATCCCTGCCTCCCAACTCCGTGGCCAGATTCTATAGGAATACCCTAATCTCTATGCACGTGTCACGCAGCACCATGACGTCGGGTCATCGGCCACGAGACACGACACCTTCGGTGATCCTCAAAGAAAAAGGCATCGACCGTTAACTATAACATCCGCGACTCTTAGAATTCGTCGCGCAGTTAGATATCAGCCGCCGCCGATCCTTAGCCGATGACAGACGTAGGTTCTCAATATCGGCAACCTAAGACCTCTTAGAAGCAGGTCAAAGACCTTGAATGCATTGCCTTCTGACACGTGTCTCACTTTTGGCACGTGCATGTCCTCTATAGAGGACTCGACGCTAACATCTACCTTTAAAAAATCCTTTTTTTAAACAATAACATTTTTTAGATCCGAAAATAGCTTTATATGATGAAAGTAGACAAAAAATTAAAGATTTAACTTTTATCGCCAAACGCGTAAGTAATTTGATTAATGTAACAAAACTAGCTTTTGAATGACGAATTTTACCATCGTCTTTTGATGACGACGATAAAAAAGAATTAATTAACTTTAACTTTAGATAAAATGTGGAAACGTATTTTAGATTTTAAAAATTTCGATGGGGAAAAAGATGTTTCCAAATTTAAAATTATTAGTTGCAATAGTTCTTTCTTTACCCCACTCAAACGCTGAAGCCGAGCGTATATTTTCTATTGTAACCGATGTCAAAAATAAAAGAAGAAACCAATTATCTAACGATACGGTTTCTTCAAGTTGTATAGTCAGGTCCAGTTTTCAAACGAAAAATATTAAGTGCACTAATTTTGAAGTAGATTCGCGACATCTCGAACTGCATAACGCGCAAAATTTGTATGATACTAAATGCACATCTGACAGTTTGTAATATATTGTATCTTTGCTTATATGTTTACTTTCAGTTTCTATTTATTTTATTCTATATTATTTGTGCAATTTTCACTTACATGTTTACTTATAGCTGCTATTTATTTTATTTGATATTATTTGTGCAATTTCTACTAATATATATTTACATAGAGCTTCTATGTATTTTATTTTACATTATTTGTGTAATGTTCTTTTAGTTCCTTTTATTATTATTATTTTGTTATTTATTGTTCTATAATGTTATTGTGCCAAAGACAAATTGTGATATTTTAAGTTATTTTATAAATTCTATTACAAATTGTTTATCAATTTTATTCACGTTGAATATTATGAATGTAATTTTTGTTTTACGAATACTGATATGGTTTTGGCAGTTTTCCTTATCTTAGCAACAAATGTTGGTATTCTTTTATTGATTCTGTCCAATAAAATATTTTATTTTTTTATTATATATTTTGCTTACAGTTACTTTAGTACCTTTCCTTTCCATCTGCTCCTCAAATATGAAAATATGTATATAATCTAATCTTATCCAACCAATATATTCATATTTCACAACCAAATTATAAAAATTTTTGAAAAATAATGAGAGGTGATTAAGGTACCCCTTTTATTGAAACTTGTACTTTACTGACAAGGGACATCACCCAATTCATACACGCCGATTTTGATGAAATTTTTATGTTATAGAACTCGAAAAAATATTTGACACGTATTTTTTTTATCGGCAAACATCCACTCTGAAGTGGTGAAAATAACCCTTAAAGTTGGGGTTGA